TTGTCTTATTTCTAAGGAATATAATGGTGACATTAAAATAAATCTGCCTCAACCACAACTTCTTGTATAAATATCTCAATGTGAATGTAAAAAAACGTAACGAACGCGAGAATGCCAAGTTCTTCATATTTTGATATGGCATAATCTGTATCCATTAATTTTTAACCATGGGGAAATCTTACTGATATATGATGGTATTTTGAATTATAGATTTTTAGTTGTCTCAAATATTTTGATTGTAAAGTAGAAAAATTGGTTTGTCCCCAAAATTTGGAGAAAAACATCGTGACAAATGTTACCAGCTTTTCTAACAAAACTGTTCATTGAATATAATAGAGAATGGTTTTAAAAAATCTGTTTGTGATATTAGCTATCAGCCCACGTTTAATCTTTAGGCATAAAAGAGCTAACTGGAGGCTATACATTTTTTCTTCCAAAATATGCTATATCACAAAAATTATGTGTAACGAACGTTACCATTATTTTAATTAACATTGTTCAATTAACATAATAGATGGTAATTACAAAATAAGAAGTTTCGAGGCATTTATTTAGGGTTAAGGTTTCATAATTATCCAACATTTGGTTAAATCATTAATAGCGATTTTGTATGAAAACATAATGAATGTTACTATTATTTGTATAAATTTAATATCATTTATTTTAATTGTTCCTACTACCAATTGATCATATTAGTATTTTTATAATATTTTTTTTAGAGAACAGAAGGAGGATTTTTGTTGTTTTTGTTATATGCATTGATGAAAAAAAAAACGAAAAACATCATTTAAAAAAAAAAATTCTCATGTTGACTTGAAATATTTATAGTTTAATTTTATCTTTATTATATTCATAGCCATTATATCTTTCCAATATACTAATAACGTTTGTTTGTTTAAACTATTTGAAGAAAACCATCTTCGTTTAATAAGCTCTAAGTTCTTATTAATTAAGTTATGACTTAAAAATTAAAAAAATAAAACTAATATTAAGAAAACTGTTTATCGAAGTTCAAGTTTGTTGTCTAGAACATCTTAAATAATATTTGAAATCAATCTTTCTTAAAAAAGTTGATATTATTTTTAAACTGAATTACTAACTGGTCAAATAATATAAGAATGACCCACAACAGTATTAATACACTAATACATAGCTGCCATATGAAGACAACAAACATTCATGAGGTTTTATGATTTAAGTAACCAGAAAAACTTTGAAGCCCTAAAGAGTATCGCAGTACTGTTGAAACAAATTTAAACATTGTTTCTATTCTAATATAACATGCTTTAACGAATACATGAAAATAAAAAGCAATACTTTACAATGAAAAATAGATATAATAAATTTTGAATAAACATTGTTAGTCGTTATGTTAAATCTTTTTCATGCCATTATTATAAATTAACTAATTAATTAAATTAAGAAGGATGAAACAAACATCAAATAAAATAAAAGAGTTTATTGTGAGGTTTCAACATAGTATCTTGCCTTTAGCTGATTCATTGACTCTGAAAATGATATAATAATTAGTACAATTAAAAACTTCATAGATTACTGCCAAAAATATCATGATAAATTATGATCTGTTTAATGGAATGAATAAGCAATCAAACAGGAAGTGCATATCACACTAAAAGAAAGGAGGATTAAGATTATTTGAAGAACAATATTTTTGTTTTAGACATGAATGGTCTATAATATTGTCATAGGAATCAGAAAAAAAATATATGAACAAGTACTGCATAAACCTACCGCCCCGGAGCGTACTACAAGTTAATAAGGTGATGAAGACCAGAGTGGACCAACTTTGATTTTGAGATTTTATTTTCCTTTTTTTTTTCTTAATTTAAGTAGTTATTTTTTACACTCTAACTAGGAAATCAAAGTTATTCAGCTAATATATGAAGATTGAGTTAATAGATAAGATCTATCTGTTACACTGGTTCTATCTCTTGATGGTTTTGAAGATTATACAGTTCTTTATATAGCCAACAGATGGATTGTTGACCTGATCTGACAAAACTCGATTTTTATAAAAATATAGTATAGTACAACGTACTCGCAAAAGAAGAAGATATTTCAAGCCTTTTTCAAAGTTAAACTATTATAACACTTTAGTTTCCACCAATAGTACGTAACCAATTTGTAAAATTATCACTACTTATCAGGGATGGCAAGATATTAATCTAAAAAATAGCAAAAAAATGTATACCTTCATAGCTACTACCCATTTTGTCTTGATTTAAGTAATTGGCAAAGAAAATAATGATTCTGGGCCAATGGTTTTGCTAGGAGATTTGGCTAAGATCATTCTCAACTGCCAGATATTTCCCAAGTTGAGGATTTACTTTATAGAGGCTGGATGTGCACCAGAATAAATAATTATTTGACATAATAAAAGAAATTCAATTATTATCCATTTGACCTCCATTATCATTGATAGAATATATTAATCATTTATAGTAATGACTTATAAGAATTCAACATACATGAAAGGATGCTGGGGAAAAGAAGAAAAACTTGAGAGAACTGAATACGACAGAAACTGGACAATGTTATGTTTATAGAAGCTATGTTTTATCAGCAGATTTGTATAGACCAGGGCTTGAAATGGAACAAAAAAAAAAACACTTTTATTTATAAAACATTTTTCAGTTGTTTTGGACCTAGAAAACTTTTCGATATAAGTTTCTATAAAACTTTTATTTAGAAGTTCGATTTGAGCGATTCATTTCTCCAAGAAGTAAATCTAAAAAATGGTAATTAAAATGACATTTTCAGCTACTCAAGCAAAAGAAATGTATTTCCCTTTTCTACGATTCTTTAAATAGAATTTTTTTTCTCTCAATATTTAATGAAACTTTGTTTTTAAGAACTTAAATAAATTTTATTGCAAAAACTGTTCCTCGGATCTTTAATTTCAAAGCACCTTTGAAACTTATAAAATAGAACTTTTTAAAAAAGTCCGATAAAAGTTTCAACCTCTGGTATAGAAAAAAATTAGAGCTAAATGTGGAATTTGAGTGGAGACCGAATTGTGGAGAATTACACTTGAACAGAATAATTTTGAATAAAAAGAAACTAAACAAACTATTCTTAATGAAGAAGAAATAGAATAAACAAGCAAATGATATATGGTTTCGGATATAACTAGATAGTCATTTGAAAATATTTTAGAAGACAACATTGTTTATTGAATTGCCTTCTTATATTAATGATTGAATTTTTTACACAACCAAAATTAAAATTTTAATGGTTTCCAAAATTAAAAAAAAACAAAAACCAATCCAACATCATAAATCAAATTAAAAGAAAGCATATAAACATAATCTGCAACATGTATCAGTTATTACTTCCAACTCTTTGTATGGAATGAGGTTATTGAACATAAAAGGAATGACTGATTAATAATGAATTCATGGAAAAATGAATTACAAATGTCAAACACACAAGCATAAGAGCAGCCCAGGGATGGTTATTTTTACAAAACTGATAGGTTATTTTTTCCAGCATCTATATACATTAAAAGTTTGAGTAAGCGATAGTAATTTAAGCATTTCTTATACTTAACTTCAAAACAATTTTATTTTCTCAATAAAAAATGAAACATTGACAAATAAATATTCTACTGTTACGATTTGAAATAACAAAAGAGTTAAACATATGAGTGGCTTCATATCAAAGGCAAACATCTTTTATTTTTAGAAAGATGAAAAAATGATATTTTCTGCAGAATAATTTCTGTAAAATAACTTCATTAAAACAAAGCCTGAATATAAAAAACTAAATAAACTCAGAAATGGTTTAAATTGAAACTACCACAAAAAAGCTGGCTATTCCTCAACTTTTTGAAAATTACAGAAGCTTGTCTTTGATATGAAGCCGTAATACTCTATAAAAAAACTGAAAGCCATTTTTTAATTTGTTTTCATATTTTTAATTATTGGTTATATGTATTCAGATGGATAACAAGAACAACTACAGCATTAACTATTCTGGAATAATAATTAGTTTAGACAAAGAAGAATTATCAACAGATTTTATAAAAAAAAATTTATAAATCCAGTACTACACTCAATATGTAAACACCAGCACAAGTAAAGATCTGATAGGTCCTAGCAAATTTTAATCAACTTTAAAATTTTTGAGCTGTACAAATTATAGTTTGTAAACAAAATCAAATTATTTACTCATCTTTATGATATTTTTTTTTATTATTAATGCCTGACAATAAATTTTTTTTATCATATATAAAATTTAGGAATGTTAGAATCCAGCTTTAGTCTTTCAGGCTATTTTTACCACCTGATTGCTTTAGTAAGAATATTTTTGAAAAAAAAAACATTTTAAAGAAAAAATAAATAAATCACAAACATAATGTGTCTTTAGATCATATCAGCACACAAATAACTAATTAAAAGATAATATAATAAATAAAATATTCGAAGAGCTTCAACTGATTCCTCGTAGGAAGAAAGAAGGGAACCAGAGTATTCAAGTCAGAAAATCTAATCAAACAAATAATTTGAGGCTGAATTTCTGAAACTTGTCGCATGTGTTGGAGCATACTTATAGCTCAAAAAATAATTTTTTCAACCATTGGAGTTAATATGTTTTATTTATTTTTTCTGAATAATGAATATGATAACAATGAAAGTAATACATGTATTTTAGTACTAAATTTCTGATTATAATAGTACAGTGCCCTTATGTACCTTACCTTAAAGACACATAAAATGTTATTTATAAACTATAGAAATGAAAATAAGTTTCAGGTCATGTTAACTTTCAATGAACTAATTCGTAAGGTGCATTCATCTATAAATACCAGATGAGATTTAAAGGCCAGAGAATGAAAAATGAGAATCATTCCAATAAAATTGAAAATAGTGAAGTGACATAAAAATAACAATGTTCAAAACAATTCTATATCGATCAGTGCTAAAGACAAGATGCTAAAAGAAAGAACAAGATGCGACAATATAAAATACAATACTCACCTCAATGATATAAGATTCTGCAAGTTTGTTGTCGGTCACCCTAGTGACAACTGTCTCGGTGAACGTACTTTTAGTGATAGTCTCGGTGACTTTGCCAAGACCCTTGGGGTCTTCAGGGAACTGGATTCCATTAGCGATAGCAGGGTCAGGATTTTTGATAGTAAGCTTGACGTGTGTAGCATTGCTGGAACCTTCCGAACCATCTTCGCTTCCCGATCCTCCTCCACGATTGAGAAACTTGGCTGGGATGAGGGCTTGGAAGTCCTCATTGGTCATCGGGCGGTTGCGAGGAGGCAGCCCACTGCCAGCACTGCTCCGTTCCTGCACCGCCCGCCGAACCGAATACAATACATGCATCACATACTCTCATCAGACAACATGCTTTCGCACTCACAACAAGCTTAACTTAAAAGCCACATAAAATATATCATGCCACAAAATTATAAACTATAGTAATAAGTAAACAAGTCTATAAACTTGAAAAATATTTCAACTAAACATAAACTAAATAATAGCTAGTATAAACAAAAAGGTACTTTTATGATAAAAAAAATATCAGTAACAGAGGGGACTTCCACAGATCAGGAAACTTTTGAATAACAAGAATTATTAGTCACATATAATTTTTTTTCTTTTTGTATTTAACACAAATCAAATGTTATAAAAATAATTTTTACTTTTATTATTACTAAACCATCCCTAAGTATATTGATAGTATAAGCAGGTATAAACAATTTATTTTAGTATAAATAAATTTAGTGAATTTGAAAAATTTCCATAAATTAACATGTATTACTATTTATCAGCAATAATATAGGTCAGGTCATAAAAAAATTAAGTTATACAACATGGGCAGGGAAGGAGGAAGTGACATAGTTTTTCATCAGGTATAAAATTTTATTTATTAGAGGTGGAACAGAAGAAGAGTGAATTCAGCCTTTACTAACTTGCCAAGGTACACACAGTTCTGTGCCAAATGAAATAATGTTTTGTCTAAAAAAGTAGAATGCTGTTTTACATAAAATGACTAAAAAAATCAGGTGTTTCAATTTTGTTACCCTAATTAAGCAAAATCATCACAACTAAGATTTATAAGGTACTTTTTATCCAAGAAAAATATCAATTTATCTGATGCAAAAAATAGAGTGTTAAATAGACATAAAAAACCAAACTATTTTGTGATCTTCTAGAATTTAAGAAACAGAGAGCCTACGCTAATAAAATTGTAAAACAAAGAAAAAAAGAATGTTGGAGAGAATACGTGTCTTCAATAAACAGTTAAACATCTACATCTTAACAAGTATGGACAAAAATTAGAACAATTAAGGGATACAAAACAATGTCCACAATATCAGGTTTAAAAACCCAAAATGGCATAATAACAGAAAATGTTGAGATAGCAAATGAACTAGGATCCTACTTTCAAAAAGTATCTGCCACTAAAAATTACGATCAAAGTTTTGTTACCCACAAAAAGTCAACTGAATGCCAACGGATCATAATCAAATGCGAGGATATGGAAAACTATAATGCCATATTTACCATAGACGAACTTAATAATGTCTTACTAAAATGTAAACTGAAATCAATCCCTGGTCCTGATCAAATTCCATATTTGTTACTAAAAAAACTCCCTATTGAAGCCAAAACATATCTCTTAAAATTGTATAATAATATATTGGTAGAGGGAACCACACCTGACTTATGGCACAAATCAATAATCATACCGATACCTAATAACAGAAATGCTATTAATCCTGATTGTTTTCAACCGATATCGCTTACCTGCTCTATTTCAAAATTAATGGAAAAGATGGTCAACCTAAGGTTGACAGACGCCCTTGCAAAAAAGAATCTGATCACCAAGGAACAATGCGGACAACAACATCTAATTGCCATTTTCTTTGATATTCAAAAAGCATACTACAGAGTATGGATACAACATATTGTGAACATGTGATTGGAATGGGGTATAAAGGGAAGGATGGTCAGATATATAAAAAACTTCCTACAAAGAAGAGTGTTCCAAGCCAAATTGGAGACCAGCTTTCAACCACTTCCATTCAAGAAAATGGGGTACCCCAAGATCAGTTTTAAGCGCAACTATTTTTACAATAGCAATAAATGATATTGTAAAGAGTGTCCCAAAACCAGCAATTTGTATGTTGTTTGCAGATGACTTCACAATAATCATCAGAAGCAAATATATAAAATTTATAGAATGGAAAATGAAAAACATCGTAGAATCAATAGAGCAGTGGACTAAAACCACTGGTTTCAATTTTTCAAGATACTGTTCTGATAATCCATCATTATCACTGAGAGGACAAATTTTACCATTCACCGAAAATGTACGTTTCCTTGGGATGTGGTTGGACAGGCAGTTGTGATGGACAGTACATTCACGTAATTTGAAAACAGATTGCTTAAAACTAATAAATATACTCAGGGCTGTTTCTGGTATGAACTGGGGAGCCAACAGAAAGACACTATTTATCCTGCATCGAACTTCAGAATACATAACAAAACTATTCAATTAAATTAAAATTAATAAGAAGTAAAATAGACTATGGGAGTATTGTATAGTTCAGCCTTTGAGAGAGCACTCAAAATACTCAACACCGTCCACAACACTGCAATAAGATTATGCACCGGGGTGTTTAGCTTCTCTCCCGTTGAGAGTCTATACGTTGAAAGTGGAAAATAGAGCTTAGCTTTAAGAAGAGACTATCTTACTCTAGTTTACGCCTCATCTATAGTTTCTAAATCGGACCACCCTAACCATAGTTTGTTAACCAGCATCAGCACCAACCAAATGTACTACTCACAACTGGCATTACAGAGAGAACCCACAAACTCCTTTTACAATTAGACTTCAGACTGGAAAATATAATGACAATAAACGACGTTTTATTCTCTTAATGGAATAACTCTTTCATAAAAACAGATAGTCTCTTTCTAGGAAAATACAAACTGGCGACGACCAATTTGTTAAAAAAACTTATTTACAGAAATGAAACATAAATACCTCGGACACACAACCCTTTATAAAAATGCATCAAAAACAGATAGTGACGTAGGATGTGCAGTAATACTGAAAGACCAGTGTATCAAATTCAATTTGCCCCAAATAAACAGCGTCTCCATAGGCGACCTATTCACCATATATCAGGCCTTGTTATTACTAACAGAAAAAAAACACATAAAAAATGGCCTTATAGTTACATATTCTTTAAGTTCATTAATGGCCATTGCCGAAGGGAACTCCGACAATGCCATTTCGAGAAAATTAAAAAACTCCCTCTCGGAAATGAAGGAGTCGCCGGACAGAGACATCGTCCTCGCATGGGTACCCTCACATTGTAGCATATCTGGAAACGAAGCTGCAAACCGCACAAGAAGAAAAACAAATGGAACCACAATGCTCAATTTAACGACCACTGCTGACTGGAGATTGGAATGAAAAAAAAAAAAATGCTAAATGAAAAATGGCAATTTAAGTGGAACCAATTTACAAATTGCAAGAAATTAAAAAAGATATCCAACCATGGACAACCTCTTTCAGAAAGAACAGAACAGAGAAAATAATTTTAACTCGACTTAGAATTGGACATGCAGCCTTTACCCATGGCTACCTAATGAGAGGCCTGGAACTACCATTTTGTAAAACTTGCAACACATCATTTACACTGAAACACATTGTAACAACTTGCAGACTATACTCTAACACCAGAACAAAACATAATATACTTTCCAACATATCTGACGCACTTTCAGATGACGAAGAGAAGATACAAAAAGTATTTGAATTCATAAAAGACATTAAATTTGTCCATCTAAAGTGACCGCTCAGATAGATGCGGAATGGAATAATAAAAAAAAAATAAAATAAAATAAAATTTATTGGCTGATTCTTAGTTTGTTTTTTATATAAAATGAAACAAGTATTTAGAATATTAATCTTCAGTATTACATTATATTATATATTACGTTAAAATAAAAAAATATATATATGCCAACACATAAAACTATTAGAGACCTATATTATAATGATAAATATCATGTTTATTTAACAATATTAAACATATAAATGTTAGAATATTTAGGGGGATGGTTTCTCAATAATGGGTTTTTATTTTTGTTTTAATGACTTTCATAGGTAACCTATTAAAGGTGTTATAATAAATATAACAAAATGAAAATATTAAAAAAAATATCAAAACAATTTCACTGAAACATAATAATAACAAAAAAATATCATGTTAAATGTAATGGTAGTAATAAAAAAAAAAAAAAAAGCAGGGTGAATGAATCCTTAATATATTCATTATAGAATATAGTTATTTTAACTAAATTTAAAAAGATTCAGGAAATTTGGGTCTAGTATTGAATAAATGATTTAGGAAAGAAAAATTTTAAATGTAATAATTGCATAATTTCAGCTCTTTTACTATTGGTATTTATAGCATTTTTTTATTTATTATTATTTTTTTACAGTAGTTTGTAACAATTTAAAACATTAAGAAAAGTTAATTCAGGTATGGATATAAAACAATAGAAACATTAGTGAAGTTTTAAAGGCACAGTTAACATTATGGAAAATAATTTAAAAATAAAATCTTTTGAAGTATTTAAAATAAAAATAAAATAATCACTTCTAAAATAAAGTAACAAACAAGGAAAACACATAATACAATCTACTAATGCTTTACAGGAAAAATATGTTAATGAAACATTAATAATACTGACATTTCTATTTTTAAAAAAAATAAAAAGGTGATAATAAAATACTGGAGTCAAGTTTAAAAAGCGACAGGTGACAATTTTTATTTTCAAATTGGCCTACACAATGAAAGACTTTCTAATATAGCTCATATTCATAGCTCTGAAACAGAATAAAACAAAAATAGTTGAGGACTAATTACCTCAGTAGGACTGGTTGCAGGTGGGTTGTCCGAAGTCTGGCTGTTCGTTCTTCTAGGAGCTGGCCTCGGAACTGGTGGCGATGCTGTTCTGTTAACAGGGGCTTGTGGCGTTACTGTCCTGTTAACAGGGGCTTGTGGCGATACTGTCCTGTTAACAGAAGCTTGCGGCGATCCAGTTGTTACCAATGGTGGTCCACTATGCCTATTACTAGTATTATAGATGCTGGTATAAGGTTTTGGTCCACCAACTAACAGCCTGTCAAAAATGATAATTACATTAATGGGTGAATGAAAAATCAAAATTTTCTTTAAAAAAAGACAAGGTTTACAATTAAACCATTAGAAATATAAAAGTATTCATATCAAAACTGCCTAAGAAACTAGGGATGGCAATAATAAACAGTTTCAATAGTTTTTTAAAATTAATTAAATAGAAAAAAAATTATTGTAAGATCCCGAAAAGAAACCATCAAATCAATAAAAAAACACTATATTGGCTAACAATAGCCATGGGAACTATTAATAAGTAGCGAACAACTGCTGATACATTCATAATAGAAAGTTATTAAATATCAATTAAAGAGATACATATTTGAAATAACACCATTTGTGAAAAAGATCTTTTATTAAATTATACTTACTTGGGCGAGCTTGTCGCAGGAGATAAAGTGCCCTTCGGAACAAAGACTTCCCTTTCTGCCACAAGACGGACAAACCGTTCTAGGCAAGTTAACATCGTAACTGCTTGGTCATGACGTGCTCCGTCCACATCAATTCCATTTATCTTAATGAGAAAATAAATTACAAGTTAATATCATCAACAGGTAAAATATTAATTTTTTTTTTTTAATTTCACAACTAAATCATTCATTTTAATCCATTCTATGCTATTTGGATAAAGGAGTACAAGTAATTTAAAAAAAAACAACTTACAGAAATGATTCTATCTCCAACCTGAAGTTTTCCATCTTTCTCTGCCACACCACCTTCAGTAATACGAGAAATATAGATAGCCTAAAATCAAAATAACATCGATGAATATTTTAAAAATAAATAAATATATATATAAAATCTAAAATATCAGTTATTAATATAGGAAATATTAGCAAACCACACAGCATTATGTCTCCAAAATTCAGGCAAAGAAAAAACCCATCAACATTTTGTCAATTCAGGCATCACCAGAATGGAAAATTTCTGTCCTGATGATGCCTGAATTGGCAAAACGTTGATGGGTTTTTATCTTTGCCTGCATTTTGGAGATATAAGACTGGATGGTTTTGATTTTTTTCCAATAATAACCTAACATTTATGTTCTGTCTCTTGGTTAGTTTGTTACTAATTTATATTAATATTGTAAACATTCTTACATCAGAATTTTCTTTGAACTGAGGTGAGCCTTTTCCTCCAGCAATGCTAAACCCAAGTCCATTCTGGTCCCGGATGAGTGTTGTATGGATAGTTTGAATTTGAACATCGTAGTCGGATCTCTTCAATTGAGATAGCTGTGAATAAGAGGGTTAAATTAAGAATATCTAAGAATAAATATATATTCTTCTAAGCTAGATAAAATGTTATTTAACCAATAACGTTGTCATTATATATTTTATTTTCTAAAATATAATTAAGAAATATATATTTCAAAATAAATTATTACAAAATTCTAAGAAATCATTGGTATAAAAATAGAATTATTCCATAACTCGAAAACATAACTAATATGAAAGCACTCAAGATTATTAATTTTCTAAATTTTTATTACAAAAAATGAAAAATAAAAAACTATGGTATGTGCTTTAGACCACAGGACAAAAGTGAAAACATCAACAACTTGAGAATAATAACATGAAATATAATTCTTTATTTTGTTCTGTATTCACTAAGTAATAAAATTACAACTATAGTTATAAATAAACTATTATTTTGTTCTATATTCCGAAGTAATAACATTTACTGAATATATTATATTATATTATATATACAATTATAATTGTAATGTTTATAAAAGTCACATGCAGTAAGGATAAGGCTGGTCACCTTCTCACAGAAACAGAAGATGTACTCAGAAGGTAGAGAGAGACAACAGAGAGGCACTTAACAGAGCAGACGATTTAAATGCAAATCCTGAAGAAGAGGAACAAGCTCTTGTTGATGACTCTGAGCCCCCAGACAAAGATGAGGCAGAGGAAGCCATCAGAAAGCTTAGGAATAACAAAGCACCTGATTGAAGGGATCCAGCCAGAACTCTTGATATACAGCAGAGATGAGCTAAGGAAGGAACTCAACAACATGATAGTAACGATCTGGGAGCAGGAACAGATGCTAGAGGATTGGGCGAAAGCTGTTATATGTCCGATACACAAGAAGGGAAATCCGTCTGCAGAAACTATCGAGAAATCTCACTCCTGTCATGTGCATACAAGATCCTATCCAGCATCCTCTTTGAACGACTGTCACTCTTTGCTGAAAGAAAATTAGGCAGTTGTCAGGCAGGCTTCAGAAGAGGTAGATCAACCATTGACACCTTTTTCTCATTAAGACTGACATTTGAGAAGTGTAAGCAGCACCAGATCACGACTTATCATCTCTTCGTCGACTTCAAGGCCACATACCACAGTATATGGATGGAGCTCTACCAGATCCTTCAAGTAATGGGAATAACCAAGAAGCTGAAGCAACAGGTAAAAATGACCATAAGGAACTCAATGTGCGTAGTACATATTGGAGCCGATGTTTCGGAGGAGTTCAGCGCAGAGGCAGGAAGATACACTCGCATGCCTGCTCTTCAATCTAGTCACAGAAGGAGCTGTCAGATCAGGTATTCAGATTGGTGGGACCTTGTTCAACAAACTGGTGCAGCTGCTGGGTTATGCTGACCACTTTGATATAATAGCCTGATCCAAACGAGCTCTAAGAGAAGCATTTCTCGCCCTTGAGGAAGTGGCAAAGAAAGTTTGAATAAGAGTAAATCAGCAAAAAACAAATTATATGCAGGTTGGAGGGCTAGAAAACCACAAGGAGTACTTTGAGGTAGAACAGTACAGATTCCAGGTGGTCAATAACTTCATCTACTTGGGAAGCAAGATAAACTCTCAAAACGAGATCTGGAGAAGACGAAAGAACCAAGAATTGTACGGACTCTTTAAAGATAGCGAGATTTCCAAAGTCATTTAACTATAAAAGTGGGAAGACTTCGATGGGCTGGCCATCTAGCCAAAATGGACAATGGCGAGATCCTGAAGAAAGTGGCAATTGAAGAGATCTTAGGGACGAGGAGAGTGGGACAACCAAATGTAAGGTTGATAGATGGTGTGACTGAAGATGCTAAAACTCTTCTAGGCATGCGGGAATCGATGACTGCGACACAGGAGGCGGTCCAGACTCGGTGATAAATTGTTGTGCCGTTGTGTATAATTGTTTATAAATTACTCTAGTAAACTTTGCTCTATCTAATCGCCATTTATATTACACTCTAAGTATGATACAATAGCGATTAAATAATTAAATATTTGATGAATATTTTGGATTGGAATCAATTTGCTAATTATTTAACAAAAACTTGGTCATTTTTTTTAGTATAAGTTCTGTAACGGGGGTCAGTAATTTGTTGAAACTCTATCGAGAGTAACATAAAATCGAATAGAAAACATATTTTTTTAAATTTTTATGGCTATTTAAAAAAAATAACGATATTTACTTCTGCCAAGTGATTTCTGAATTCTCCATGGTATCTAAATTTTGAGATATTTTAGTCCAAATGTTCAAAACAATTGTTATTTGTTTTTTTGGCACTATCTTTTTCCTTTTCTGACTCTCTAACATGGAGTCGTGTCAAAATACAATTTTGAATTACAGCTCATTACTAAGAGGATGAAATTCTGAAAATTTCCCTTGCTTACATTATGTAGGTCCAAACTTTGGTTTTTCAGATATTTTTATCTATCTATATATTCAACAAAACTAGATATCATTTGGTTTTCGACACTGTCTTTTTACCTTTTTGCTTCTCTAACATGACGTCATGTTAAGATACTATTATGAATAATAGCTCATTACAAAGAGGATGAAATGCTGAACATTCCTCTTACAGTATCTAGGACCGATTTTGGTTTCTTAGATATTTTAATCCAAATCCAAAAACATATCAATTAGTCAACTCAAGAACATTTTACCCGAATGATCATTACATATTTGAGTGTGACAGCTTAGTCTCATTCACTACTCACAAAAAAAAATAAAAAGCACGCCTAAAAGACATAAAAGAAGTATTTATGTCAAAAATTTAGTATTTAATTTTTTTTCCAAAAGTGATAAGGAACATAGTGTGATAAGCCACACATATTTGATTTATAGCAATTTAGAAATAATGAACTATAGTTCAATAATTTGTAGCATTTTTTTCTATGATTTAATATTTATATAAAAAATTCATTTATTTAACAATCATACAGCAGCATTTCATTTTGAGTACTTAACTGATTTACAACTATTGCAATACTTTCAATTTGATTTATTTAATAAAACTGAGAATTTGAAATCAGCTAAATTAATAAAGAATCAAAGCTCAAATTACCTTTGATTCGATGGTAGGACCATTCAATCCTATGCTCGAGTCTCTGTTGGATATAGAACTGGAAGGGCGACTGAGTGTCGACGAGGGAGAATCAGTAGCTGTCCTATCGTGAAGGGGAGACGGACTCTATGAAACAAAGTTTAAACTGTCATTTAATACCATGCCTTTAATTTATTAAGAGGAAAAAAATATAAATAATATTATTTAAGAAATCCTTAATTAAAATAAATCAATCAATTTTACCTTTATCGGCCTCAGTTTAGCTGTTTCCCTGTCAATGACTATGTGCAGTACAGGGCCAATAGTTCTCAGAACATTGACTGCTTCATGGTGGCCGATGCCGGTCATTGAATGACCGTTGACAGAAATTATTTTATCACCAACCTATAGCAATTGAGTAATCAGTACTTTACTTATATTTTATGGTGGAATAATATATATTAAAGATCTCTAAAATATTAAATAGTCAAGAGAATTAGATTAAATAAACACTGACTAATATTTTTGGACTATGAAAAAAAAAAAAAAAAAAAAAAAAAAAAAAAAAAAGAAAAGACGTAATATGGCATCTGTTAATATATTATACCAGTATTTACACTGAGAGAAAGAAGTAACTTTAGATAAAAAAATAGAATTCTTCTTCCTATATAGAGTAATTTATCAAAATATGGCATGGCTATTCTAATTAAATTTTAAACATTATTGTTCTTTCACTTAATTCAACAAATGTATTTCATTTAATATTTTTCAGAATTTTAAATATTCTTTTTCTCTACAAACATACTTTTATACAAAAATATGTATATTTAATGATGTATAATATGAAAAATTGAGTAAAAGAAGTAATATTATTGCTTTGAACCTAAAGAATTTCACATAAAATAAACAACATTAAAAAATAATAGAATAATTACCCTCAAATCAACTTTGTCAGCTGGTCCTCCTTCTGTCACCTTAGAGACAAAGATGCCTTCATCATCTCCTTTGAACGGTGTTGAACCTAGGCCGCCCGCGATCGAAAGACCAAGTCCTGCCTGGGTCTTCTCCAGCCTCACCTCAAGCCGCTCCTCTCGAATGTCCAGTCGGCCATCCATCTCTTCGCATAAATCATCATCCATGTCTAAATGTCCAGAGGCATATATGATATGGCCCCAAGACCAACCCAACATCAAAAGATCAATACGTGTGTTTTTCAATCTTCCCATGTTTTATTTTAAGTATATTGATATATGTATATATTTGAAAACTGAATATATATAGAAATTTGTTGCAACAATACATTAATTCCAAATAAATTACATTAATGTCAACTATTTTGGGAACAGAGTTGAAAACAAACATTTAAATTTTTATATGGCCAACCAAGGTATTGCAACTGGAGTAATAAATAATTGCAACAAAAATTCCATTAATTCAACCACCAAAATTGGAAAAAAACTTAAAACAGCACTAAATTAAAAAGTACTGAATTGGTGGAAATAAGAACAAATGTGACAAAAAAGAGCTAAATAATCAAGAAAGATGATATGAAATAGGGACAGACACAAAAGATAAACATCAATTGGATTGATACTCATCCAACTTTAAAATATTTAATCAAGAGAAAGATGTTTGGGGTGATCAGTCAAAATAAAAATGGCAAAAATAAATATTTATTTATTTTTGCCTTTTTTATTTTCATACTAGACTGAAACGACGAGAAACCGCTTAACGTTTCCGATTACTTCAGCACTTACTAGACAAACGCTCTAAACTTCCAATTAATTACAACAGACTCATATACACGACTATAATAAGGCCTATTCGGACTTACAGAGTTGAGCTATGGGGCTCCACCAAATCATCAAATTCCTCTCGTATCCAATCCTTACAATCCAAAATCCTTCGTAAAATCCTCAATGCTCCCTACTTTGTTACAAATAAAACCATCCATTATATGACCTTAATGTTTCTTATGTTTCAGATCTGGATCCTAATCCAGATATCTATCCTTCCATAATAAACTTCAGAACCATCCCAACCCTCTCATTTCTAACTTTTTCTTCCTCTTCAATTCCTGATAACCCCCGAGGCGTATGAAAAGAAGATGGCCCCGTGATCTCCTAATGTAGATATATCATTAGAGTGCTACTATTGGGTAGTTACTCAAAAAGTGTTTTCACGTCATTATATCCATATGTTCAAATTTACTAAATGTATTTCTTTGATACAGTTATAAATATCAATAAAAAAAAATATATATATATATATTTTGACTGATCACCCCAACCATCCTTCTCTTCATTATTCACTACAATCAACCATCAACCCACAATTTCAAATATTTAATAAAATATACAGTGCTCCATTTTTTTATATGCCTATTTTTGAAGTTCATAATATCAATAAAGTAAATATTTACTAAAAAGTTAATTTGCACTTGCAAAAACACCTACCAAAAAACATATCGAATATCTTTCAACACAAGAAGAAATAACACTGTATCTTTTATAATATTTTTTGCTTCATTCTCCTAATTTGTTTCATTTAAGAACCATTAGTTAATGAAAAATGATATGAGATTATTAGTTAATTATTAGTTTTAAAAAACAAAATAAACAATACTTGTATAAGCCTTTGTACTATCTAAAACAAAACAAACAAGAGTCAATAGTACTACAGCAATGTCAAACAATATTAAACAGTTTACAGAATCCTATCTTATCTTCCAGTCTAATATAACAGAAAAAGTGGAGCAGTATGCCAGAAAGGTTTAAAGTATTATAAATCGATGTTGAAAAAATAAATAAAAGTTGTAAATCAACCTTAATTATGACAATTTAATTATTTACTCATTTCTTTAAAAATACACTAATAGACTATAAATTAAAAATCACAAAATAAATAATTTTTCTTGAGTAAATAATCCATTTTAAAATTATTAATAAATATTTAGCAGTAGTTAATTTATTACTGAAAGAGTTTAAACAAGCATCATTATGCATATTAGTGGAATGCATATTAGGAGTTTATGCAAATTATAGGTAACAACCTTGAATATAAAATATGAAATTAAAGCAAAAACAATAAGAAAATATTTCTAATTATCTATATTAAAAAACATTATAAAAACTTCAAGCTGTTGTTTATTTTCAAAATAATATACTTGTGAAAATAACAATTTTTTAAACAATTCACTCAAAAATTATAAAAAGAAAGATGTAAAACCTTGCATTTAGTGCAATCAAAACCAATAATCTATAGTTAATCCAGGATTAAAATTCAGGGCATTGATAATAAAATTGGCAAGGCAAGGAATATTAGGTATAAACAGCAAAACGGGATAAACTAAGTTAATGTTTATACAGATTCATAAAAACGATATTGTATAACATCAACATACTTGCTACATAGATGTTTAACCGCCTTCGTGGATAACGTTTCTTTTTCTTGTTTGACATAACTCTAACAGGTGAAGAAACTCCTTTCAGTTTTAGACTCATAATGGTGACTAATCTGTCTGATATGGAATGTGGAGATAAAGCTCTGTTATCTTATCAAATTGCAACACTTACCGTTATTTGGAATCATAGGAGGCGGAGCAGGTGCGGCAGGCAGCTTTTCAATCACTTCATCCTCTTTCTTCTTGTTTATGGCCTGTAAGCAAAATTTCAAATCAACTTTTAACCAATATACAAAATTAAATTTGAAGCACCATTTGCGTAAGCATACAAATAACTAACAATATAAGTAATAGAAAATGGTTTATAATGTTAGTTCAGGACAACTAAATTCAACATAACACAGCCAGCAACGAAATCAAAAATAGTAGTCATGCTTTCTATTACATCCATTCTTAAAACAAAGAAGAAAAACAAAATTATACCAAAGAACAATAAATAAATATTAATATACATACTTACATATATGCCCAAACTAACACTAATATAATAAATCCTGTTTATTTAATTAATTGGAGAAAACCATTATGTTAAACCTACTTTATTGTCAAAATTAAAAGAAGAAAAACCTACAAAAATAGTTTTTATAGGATAAATAATAATAAAATATCTTTCAGAGAATAAATAATTCAGATTAAAAAATCTCAAACACCCACAGCAAGACTAGCAAAATAAATACATCATGCTTTTCAAATCCATACTAAATAAAGTTAATAAATCATATCACACAATCAGTGTATTACATTTCAAAAGAGAAAACAAAAAAAAAAAAAAAAATATATAACATAAACACTAAGATAGTACATGCACTAAGAATTCTAAAAAAAAAGTCAGTCGTCTAAATTGAATACCAAATTCAAATTAACAAAAATACTATCAGCCTAAAACAATCTAATTAAAATGGAAATAGAAAAATTAATTTAATCCTTGAAAATTGAATATATATATATATATATATATATATATATATATATATATATATATATATATATATATATATATATATATATTTGTATATTATTAATGATTAATTCTTTAAAATAATTACTATAGATATAAATGATTTTTGATTAACTAAGAAGAGTACTTAGATAATGAATATTTTGAAATTTAACTTAAGTTTGGAGACCATTTGGCAAAAAATCACACCTTTGAATTTCAATGTTTCACATTGGAATTTATTTGAATATTTTGCAATGATGAATAGCTAAGCTCATTCTAGCTAACATAAGACAAAATAGATAAACATTTAACCTTAAATAAAATAAATACATATAAGCTTTGGCAATGGCGAACACATGAAACAATTTTATATAAATGCAACAAATAAGCAAATTAGGAATAAACATACAAAACTTTACAAAGTTGAAAAAAAAAAAAAAAAAAATGGATGTGATTGGTATTATAAAAAATTGGAATAAAAAAAAATTAAAAAGTATTACATTGGCATTATTTTAAATGAAATGTAATGTCAAAATATGCATAACTCATTCTGCTTGAAATTTATATTATTAAAAAAATGAACTAATTTTATTTTTAATTTCTTTAAACAATATCAATGAATGTAAGCCAAGACTAAAATGAACTATAAAAAAAAAAAATATTTTTTTTTTAGTAATAAATTATTTCTGGCAAAACAGTAATATTGAATAAATGTTTGAAAACCCTGTTATTTAGGCAATCTTGATGTTAAAGAAGTTGCTTTTATTTAATTTAATATAAACATAAATATATTATTCATAAATGTCTTTGTGTTTTTAAGTAATTCCAAATGAAAATTAATCAGGCAAAGAGATTATTTATTAATATGAAAAAAAAAAAATAATAAAATAAAGATGTTAATATTCCATTAAAATAAGGGGGAAAACATTGAAGACGAGCCAAGCAACAGACAGGCAATAGCATTTGACTACTGACACTTGCAATAATTGCTGCGACTTTATCCTTGTCGAGAGCAGGCGATCCCTGGTTGATCCTCTTGTTCTTCAGGTGGTGAGGCGTGTCTCTCCTGTGAAGGCGAGTTTGGCGTGGACCTCCGTTTGTGTTAGGATCAACCTCAAAACCTACGTGCCTCTCCTAACGGTGCCCATTAATCAAAAATTACCAATTCCCCAAATCACAGTTAAACTCAACAATACATCAATTCATTCTACCAATAATTAACAGATATAGTAAGATTAAGAGTATTATATATTTAACATAAATGAACAAGTCAACATTCATTTTCACAAGAAATTAAATAATGGAGTGAGCTTTAGTTGAAAAAAAATTGAAATAATCTGAATTATTCAAATGTTCATATTGATTTTTAAAAAATTTACTTATATCAGAGAGAATATTTGTCAACTAAATAACATAATGAAAAAACAGAAAGCTTAAAATTAGAAGAAAAAAAATCAGCTCTAGAGTTTAATTAATAGTTCAAATGAACATTTTAAGAAAACATAAAATCGTCAGAAAAAGCATGCAATGAAACATAAAATTTAATGTCAGTATTAGTTTATACAAAAATAAATAAAACAAAAGACATGTTATTAATGATTATGATGATATATAAACAATATATCTAATAATTATTTACAAATCAAAGATTAATTTCCGTTCAAGAGAACATTGGATATGAGTGTATATGCAAACAGGAAGAATCTTGAAGAATATTTACACAGGTATTGGATTTTTACAGGGTGGGGCACATGCCCAATCTAGGCAAAACTGATATGAACAACCTCATAAACAAACTTTTTATTTGCTTATCAGCAATAGGATTAGTAATCAATCTACAAGGGAATATGGCCAAGATTATAACCACTAGCCGCTATTATTATGAATTATTATAATATACTCACTATAATTGAAACTTTAGATGCGCCTTTGAAGTAATAGGTATAAGTTACAAATAATAACTTAATTATAAAATATATAAATAATATAGAACATCAATTATATGAATTTCAGAAGACAGAACATACACGGCCTAAGTTGTTAAGAGAAAACAAAGATTTAACATTCCAATAAAGTACATCCAACGGTCACAGTTATAATTATCCACAACAGAATAATTTAAAAATATATATAATTGCCTGTAATCTTCACTTTTTATGATTGATAAATCATTCTTATAATTAGGTGAAAATTTTAATGCTTATTAATTATTATTAATTGAGAAGCCCAATAGCTTGATTTGATGCTTAAACAGCTGATAAACTTTTATAATTTAAAATTCATAAATAATTTAAATAAATAGACACAATGAAAAAGACTAGTTGTATTCCCAAAGTAAGATCATCAATAGGTGTCAGTTATCACACACTACCAAATAAAAAGAGAAAATTGACGGAAGCTGATGAATGAATATAATGATATTTTAAACATAATGAACATGCAAGAAACTATTGAAAACTAATAAACATTGAAACTGTTTATTTTAGTTTTTGAACTGAAATCTAAAACGAATAATATATTTAAAGAATGATACATATATAGTTATTTAACATAGATAAATATTTTCTAATGAACTGTATCAATACTACAAACAGCAATATCAACACTATGTTTATTGCAATAACTAATAATCATATTTATCATAAAAAAAAAAAATTGTAAAGAGAATGACTAAATTACACCTACTATAAAATAAAAAAGAGGTTAACTGAATAGCAAATCATAAAATAAGAGAGAGAGATAAATAATGAAATCTACAGAAGTTATTCAAAAAGTATTTAGACTATCTAACTCTTCGAAGCTATGATCCAATACGATCTAATACACCAGGTATATTTTATTTACCATGTCTTTTGTTTCTATAGACGAGTATAAAACAAACACAATAATTTTACCTGATCATCATCATCTTCTAGTTCGCTTTGTCCTGTTTCGCTCGGTGAATCGCTCGTTACTCGTACGTCATTGCCAACTTTAACACCGCTGTTCTTGTTCTAAAAAAGTATCAAGAAAGGATGTTTGGGGTAAGAGTTAGTGCAATAGGAGGCAAAACAACTAGACAGCACAAACAAGGTTTCATAAGCATTCAATTCCATAAGAAAAAGAAATGGTTCTAATGGACTCACCGAATCCTTGACTACTTCATTTTCTCGAGGAAGAGTACTCTCAGAGTAGGAGAGAGAATTCCTGTCACTGTTAGCATCAATTTCAGCAGAGCTCAGCCGCTCGCTTCTAAAGCTTCCTTTAGAATCATTAAGCTTTGGCTCCTCCTTCAGATGAACAAAAAATAAATTAAATTAGAAAAAAAAAATTCATATTGAGAAAATAGAATAAATTGAATCAATAAATAACAGAAAATCATAAAAATAATTAAACTATTAGACATGATAGAAGACATATAGATGTAAGAATTAAGTAAATCCATTATTACAAATTAAATAACACAATAGCAATAGGTTTTGAGTAAATCAGCAAATGAAGGGTCAAGGTCTTCTACACCAGAACGCAATACGTCCTGGCGATACAATACTCTTATCGCGCTCTGTGTAACTGCTATAATGCAATATATAGTAATATAACTATATCACCATATTGCCGTCGACAGCAATATTTTATCCACAAGACATATCACACTCTGTTGCGTATGAGCCTTAAACCTTATTTTTGATCTGATAATAGTATTAATTTATTAACATTAGTGTAAAAAACAAATTAAGTCCAGATATACTTGTTTTTTCACCAACTATTCCACTAGCCAATGATGTAATCTTTCTCACATTTCTCAAACAGGAGAGGTTTAATGTTACATTTGTGACGGGTTCTTTTCACTAACCGAAACAGCAGTATTCTCCAACGACAAAAGGGCTTTAATTAGATTGGATAATTTGAATTCACCTGATTCTAACATCAGTGCTCTTAATCATAAGTTTTTGAAACGCTAATTTTTATTTTTATTTTTTTTATTAATGATGATATTTTGGCAAATAGTTCTCTTATAAATATTGAAAGGTTTGTTATAACTAAATAAAATTACAGTATAAATAAAGAGGTTAGCTATAGAATTCAAATCAAAAACTTCAAAGCTCTCAAATCAAAGTTTATATTAAACCTGTCAATTTTTTATCAAATTAAGACATTTTTCAAAATTCTAACTTATCACTAGTTGATATATTAAAATAAAAGCTGTCAATAATTATTTGATAGTTGGTAAATCATCTGCAATAGCTAAACAAATGGAAAAACTGACAAATTATATATTTAAAGTTTTTAGTCAAGAGTATGAATAAATAAAAAGCTTTTATTAGAATGATAATAAAATTTGAGTTTTGGAGTTGTCAAAATCTATAAAATTTAATTATGTTTGCTAACGTCAGTTTGATTCCCATTTTTTACATAAACTTTTTTTTAAAATAATTTATTTCTGAAACATTTTGATTTTTTGTCTTTAAAGTAATTATTAAAAACAAATAAAGAAGTCAAAGATTAATTTATTAAAGAATACAAAAATTTAAACTTTTGAGGTTTTTATCAGAATGACAAGCAACATTTACCTTTAACTTAAAATAAAAAAAACTATAACAAATCACAATTATTCAATATATTCAATGTCATGATTCATAAATCATTTGATGTTTTGGTGAGGGTAATTACAAACATATTTATTGTAATTCATTTAAACAAAATTCAGTTTTAAAAAGAAAATGTAATAAAAATAAGTTACCTCTTCGGTGAGATTGTCACTGAGCTTTGACTTGTTGAACAGCTTGTGAGCTTTGGCCTTGAGCTCTTTGGGATGTGGCGTGTTCTGACGTACAAATGGTGTCTACAAGGAGAGAGAGGAAACAAAAATTAAATAAATATATTTACACAATAAGTAGCTGTCATTGGATGAGGAATGTCACATTGCCCCAGTTAACACCTGACTTGACTTTAACTAATGACAGAGGTCAATACATTGGAACAATTTATGCTGAGTGAGTCAATCTTATGAAATGAACTGAATGAAATATCAGCTGGTGGTGGGGAGGCAAGAACATCCTCAACTCATACACAAATGATAAAATTTCATACAATTCATTAACTGTCAAACATTTAAAAATTGTTATTCTTTAATGATGTTTTACTTGAAAAATAAAAATGATTTCTCTTAGAATTATTTTTTACAACATAAATGAAAAAAAAAAGGAATTAATATTTTTTCAACTAAAAAAAAGAAAGTAATAAATAACTTATTTATTATATATCATATATATGAATTCCAAAGAAATTAATATAGCTGATAAGTGATGGTTTGTCTAAAAAGTAATAATGTTAAAAAAGAGTGTTTTTATGGGCAGGCTTGACCTGATTATAGGAAAAGCTAAAATAAAAACATAAAACAAATTGTGACAAGTACTACCTTCGAATAGCACGTTAAAGGAAAATTAAAATAGACTAAAAGAGATTAGTTTGAAAACAGCCAATATATATAGTTTTTAAAAGAGCAGGAACATTAATACAAAATAATGTAAAACTTCTTTTTCAATAAATTAAAGGTGAGGTTAAGTGGTTGCCTGATTTCTTAATTTAAATCATAACAAAATTATGGCCAGTAAAGAAGTTCATATTATGGTTATTAGGTAGATATGATCTAAAAGCCATAATAATATGCTAAAAAAAATCAGATAGTAAGGGATGTAATAGTTTTATAAAATGAACTTGATTGACTAATAAATAAATATTTACTTAAATAATTACACAAACTAATACATTCCTTCAAATATTTCAAAAATATTTATAAAACAATAATAATAAATGAAAAGATGAATAAATAAACATAAATACAATATCATGGGTGATAAATATTCAGGACGCAGTCTTTTTTAAAAAAAAATTATATATATATTATAAAATTTTTTTATATATATTAATAAAAAAAAAAAAAATAAATAAATAAAATAAAAAAAAGACTGCGTCCTGAATATTTATCACCCATGATATGTAGAACAGTCGACTAACTTCCTTCAAGAATAAATACAATAATAATATTTATTTTATTTGAATATGATTTTTTGAAAATTCACTATTAGAGAAAAATCTCTTTCTAGTAATTTAAAAAAAAAAAAAAATTAACCACCAAGATATTCTATTAATCAGTGATAAACCAATATTCAGAAGGCTTTATTTTATATCATTGGCATTCACATTTGATGAAATATCAATGATAATTATCAGTTAAATTATCAATTATAAAATAATTTTATAAATTATAAAATAGCAAATATTTGACATTTTATGTACACAGTTATTTCTTCACTCAGCAAACCATATATTTTCAACTGACAAATATCATTGAGTTATTCAATGCGTCATTCTGGCAGTAGTTTGATGGATAAATTAATTTAATAAAACTAAAAATTTTCTTTACAAAGCAGAAAACAAGTCTTAAAAAATTCAATAACTGGATTTAGTGATTTTTTCTTGAACGCCAAAGATATATTTATTATAATAAATTCTTATGTTTGTAAAAAGAATTTCTTTATATGTAAAATTTTAAATTGTATAGATTTAGTTGTAATTTTATCTATTTTCTTCATTGTGACAAGAATTACCAATAAATAAGAAATAGAAACATTGTTAGTTTTGGTAACCAGTACAAAAGAACCACTTTTCTAATGGTAAAAAAAATAATAAATAAAAAGTAAACAAAACAATCTCTTGTTAGAAAAATCAATATCATGTTTTACCTCTTTTCCTGATTCTGGTTCAACATCTTCAGTAAACTTGACTGAGTGTGCCCTGGAGGCCTCCCTCTCCTCCCAGCCATCGTCATCCTCCTCGCTCTGTGCACCGCCCTCTATTGGCACCCGAACCAGTCCGTCAAAAGCTCTGTTCACTCGGCCTTCATGCAACATACATGCAGTGCAATGCAAGCGGGAAGGATAGTGAACGCACAGGTTGCAAAAGAGGGGCAAATTAATTATGATACATCTACTTGTATAAAAGTTCCGAGGTAGTAGATGGAATACAAACTAATTACGGGTAAAGTACAAGAGAAAAGGATATTAAGAAATAATAAGTCTACTTAACCTGGAAGAGCATTACTGAAATACTTAAAGGAGGGAAATTTAAATATGCTTCCCCTAGTTTAAAATGGAATTAAGAACTATTTAGATATTATGTAGGAAAAATACCAATTGAAAATGCCTAGTAACTTCTGTTTAGGCTATTAAAAAAATAAACAAATAAAATTGCTAGAACCATCAAGCGATTTATTAGAGCTGACTGTATTAAACAGATGAATAGACTCTTTATTAAAAGAGAATATTTTATCATGCGGCTGATAGATTAATAAAGCCAGTTTCATAATATAACCAAATTAAAAAATGAGAAAAATAATAGCCCTGAATCCTTTCAGGAGCTTAAAAAAAGCTTTATTAATTTTTAAAAAAGAAAAATTAAAAAAAAAGTACACACATACTTTTACGATTTTTCTTACAATAGCTATTGGTGTGATAAAAAGCAGTAGTTTTTTATGCACTTATGCTGCGCTGCCAAAAATATACAACCCTAATAAGCCGTAATAAAATAAAATAAAACGAGAAGAGGTTAAATTTAACAAGAGCAGAAAGGTAACGGGAGGCGCTCAGCCAAAGGTTCACTGCCAGCCTACTAGATGGAGCTAATGGCGACCTTTCCACCTAATATACCACAGTTCTCAGCCATTACAAAAGAAGAAAACAAATAGTTTAGGAAAATATAATACTTAATCATATGAAAATAATTCAACAATGAAATGAAAATAAAAATTTAAAAGTTTTTAAACTAGTCACATAGACTCTTTAGTGCAAATATTAATCTTTCTCTTTATGTCATTGGAAAAATAATTCAGCTCTGTTATATTTTTAAATAAGTACAAAGTCCAATCATAAAAAATATATATCAAATTTGATGTAATAGTAGTTAAAACAACCCAAGGTTCAAATCACTGATACCAAGGGTTTCAGAAATGTCTAAGATTATTTCCTCGCTACATTTAAACAATTCCAACAGCCCCAACGAGTTGAATTTCAGGATGCATAGTTGTTTTCTTGGCAGAATAATACCATAAAAGTCGGAGTAAATTTTGGAAATACAGGTTTTGAAAACCTCTACAATTTCTTCGAATTGATTGGAGGGTTGAAAATTTGAATGTAAATTGTGTCAGTGTTAGAGCAGTGCCTTTTGGGGATTTCAACTATTATATCTCATTTCATGATAAATCGATCAATTAATTTAAAAACAAAACATAAGAAAGAAATTCTGTTCTTCAATTTATTTTAAAATTTTATTAATTTCTTTAGGGTAATTATTAATGAAACAATTTCACCTATTTCACTAGGTAAAATATTACTTCAGTCAAGGGACTGTGCTATTCACACTTTAACATTCAACATTTATTTCATATATGTTAAATTTTTTTGAACTAAGAAAAATAAATTAAATTGATACATATATTCTGAAGCGACAAATAATTCAAGGGTAAAAATAAAATATAGGACATATTTGTCATAAGAACTAATTCATTCAGCTTCAAACTTTGAAGTAAATATAAAATCAAGGAGAGAAAATAAATAACTGTATTATGGAATAAAAATAAAAATTCACACGTAAACCAAATTATCAACAGATGCGAAAAGAACTAACTAATAAGATCTCTACGATATACTTTATACTCACTTAAAACCTAGCCTATAGCAATGGATTGGATACAGGGACTACTTTTAATGGTTTCAATGCATTTAGTTCAACAGAACATGCTGACGAATTAAAATACATTAGATAATGAGACAATCTCAAATAAACCTGATACCAGAAATCCATATCAAATTTAAATTAGAAATAAAAAAAAGTCTAGGAAGTCATTTGTTATAATATCAAGTGTATGATAGAATACTATGAACAGCTAAATGAAAATTTGATATGATATTAAATGCAAAAGACAAAAACGAATAACTAACAATATGATATGGATTGTATGGTGTAATTAACTTTTACGTTAACAAAGTATACAAGGGTTTAAATGAACTAATGGAAAAGACTAATGTGACTGCCATACCAGGTTGCGACATGTCATGATGGGGTTCTAGTTGCGGTAATAGAAAACAGGTGAGGACCTGCTCACCGGTCCTCTCATCGACGTCCGGCTGGAATGTAAGCAACGGCTGCGACTGGTTTTTGGAAAGCCAAACCGCTTTTAGTTCAAGATTTGTCAATGTAATTGGCAAATACTCTAACCTGCAATTAAAAGAAGAACATCAATTTAACAGTACATAAAAATGATGTGTAATATATTAGTATGATTTGGTGTAACTTTTTTTTTTTTTTTTAATTTCTTATTGAAATAAGTATACTAACATATTTTAACTTAATAAAGAAAATAATTAATAGCTAACCTATTGCCTGACAAGTCTAAAACATGCAGAAGACTACAATTGCCAACTTCAGATGGGATATACTGAAGCTTATTGTCCCGTAATGAGAGAACTCCAAGTTTAGCTAGCCTTCCTGAAAAAAAATAAAATAAAAACAAGTGAAATAAAGAAATTTATGCTAATCATGGTAACGTTTCTATATACTCCTAATAACTACTTTTTCAATTAATAGTTTTGGTGCAAGGTTCTTAGGTAAATGAATTTCTACTTAAAGCTGTTAAACTCTTAATTTTAGTTTATTTATTTAATTTAAAGTTTTATTTTTAGTTGTTAATAAAAAAATTAAAATAGAGTTGGCTGTTAGAACGATTCCATGCCTATCAACTTTAAACTATTTATCAACATTTATGCAATGTAGGAAAACAAAAATGAAAACCTACACAAATAAAAACCACTTTATTGCCCCTTTAAAATCCCTAGTGTTTGCCTAGTGGTCAAAATTCAACCATAATCAGCATATACAAATTTGTATGTTTCCAAGATTGTTTCTTTTACTCTTCTACTTATTTATACACATAATACATTTGTATATACACTTTAATATATACTTATGATACAAAATAGTACAGTAGTATTTATGCAGTTTTTGAGTTATTAGCAAATACAATTTTGAATCTAACATTATTTTTTTTCAGCCTCATTTAGGAGAAATATGTTGTAAACATATATATTAAAAGGTCTTCAAGGAGAATACTTTAACCAAGTATCATTAAAATCGTTAATGCCATTTTGATGCTATAGTCTAAAGCAATTCATGTTTTTCAGCTGCTATTTTAAATCGACCTGATAGTAATAAAATGAATATAAAACACTCCTGAATTGATTGCAACATTGTATCAAAATTTCAAAGTAATTGGTAAAGAACTTTCGGAGATTAGCGGTTTTAACTAGAGAGATATAATGATTTTTAATCTAAAGCCCATATGAAATTATGAATCTGTATTCTATCTCACGGGCACATATTAAAGCTCTTCCTCTTAATTGAAAATTACACAAAATGGTAGAGTAACTTTTGACATGAGTCACTCATTTCCGAAGTAAACTTTATTTGATTTTTTGGAATTCCAGATAAGTATTGATTCTCATATAGAAAAGAAACAATGAATCCGACAGTGCTATTATTTTTTTTTTCAAAACTAAACTTAAATATTTAGAAAAGTGGTGCAAAAATAAATTTATTTTTGAAACCGGCATTTTCCAAAAATCAGTCATACTTTCAGTAACAATGTTTTTTAGTTATTATTGAAATAATTAGTAATTTTCAGAAATATGTACTACAAATAAGGTGTGGGGAGGTAGCAGTCCCATTCCCCAGCCAAAGTAGCGCAGACAGCCACTGGCCCTACAGTTTGGGGGAACAGTACACTACACTCACCCCCATAATACAGATCAAGTGCAATAACACAACACACCCTAGCCCTAGAGTAACCTAACAAGGTAGCGGCCCCTTGGGAAGCAAGTCACATGGGCTAATAAACCTCACCGCCTCTTAGATGGATGGATGGTTAGCCGAAGATGCCTGGACGATCCAGGGGGTCAGGGACTGGGGAACTGCTACCCAACTGCCATGCTGACTTACAGTAAATTATTGGAGGAGGCCAGAGACCAGTAATGGTCAGTCGAGCCAATGGAAGAAGAATATATACTACAAATAACAAATTTCTTATTTAATTAATTTATTTTTTTTTAAATACTGGTTATGATATTACAGTCGGAATAGAAAATATAGTCTTCTGCGGCCACATGAAATTTTGTCAATGATGATTAAGTTTGTATTTGAAAATAAATATGTCTAATGATCACATAAAATAAAATAAATAAATATAAATGGTAACATTTTGTAAGTAACTTTTGGTTTTGCTATACAATACTACATGCTAAACATGTAAACATATAAACAAATCGAATATCATTATTTTTCTTCATTTTTTAATTATTTTTACAATATATTTGTAACTTGCATTGCAATACATAAAAAAATTGTTTTTTTCATTAAATATTATTAAAATAATAAGTTCAATAACACATATTGTATATAAATCTCACCTATTTCAGGTGGTATGCAATGAAGGCTGTTCCTATCTACATTGAGGTTTGTCAAGTTGACCAAATTACCAATGGTCAGGGGAAGTTCGACTAGGAAATTTTCAGTCAGAATAAGCTCTTGCAAGTTTTCACACCTGAAACAGAGTAAAATAGAAAGTTTGAATATCAATAAATTATTAAAAAACAAATAAAAAAATAAAAGCATAAATATAAAAATTGTTATTATAAAAAATTCCCAACAAAAATGTTAATCATGTGTATTTATTTACATTTAATAAATAAATACATTATTATTTAATTTAATAGTAGACAAAAGTTGATTTTTATACGTTACACACATACATATTTTTTATACTTACTTGCCAATGTTTGGATTAAGGGTTTCAAGACGGTTTTGATCAACTTTTAAAATTGTTAACTTCCTTAGATAGCCAACGCCATCAGGAAGAGTCTCTATCATGTTCTGAGATAGGTGGAGATCAGTGAGGGAATCAAGGCCTCCTATTTCATCAGGTAAATCGAGGAGTTTGTTCTCGGATACATCAAGGCAGGTCAAATTTTTTAACTCTCCGATTTCCTGTTAAGAAAGCACCAATATAAATATTATAAAAATAACATTAACTAATAAAACTTATAGTGATAAGTAAACATACAATAACAATAAATAGAGTTCATTCAAAAAATTTAATTTTCTCTGGTCACCAGAGAAGATTTGATACTTGAGATAATCAATCTAAATGCAGGTAAAATAAAATAAATCAACTGTTATTATGATGAAAATACACAATATGCCTACTAATAATAAAATACTGATTATTTAACGTGATTATTGGTACTTATGACAATACTACACCTCATTCATCTTTTTCCGATTATGAAGAAAATAAATTTCTATTTATGAACTCAAATCTGAGCTCAGGTGTTAGACGTCTAATGCTTCCACCACTGAGCTATCTTCCTTTGAATCCACTTTAGTATAGAATATCAAATAAATGCTTGAAAAGATGTATATGATGATCATGTAATATGAATTTATTTGTACAATTTAGGAATTATTATATTACTTAATATAATATAAAATAAAACTTACAGAAGGTAAATGTTTGATTTGATTATGATCTAGCCATAATTCTTGGAGAGCAGGAAGTTTACCAATATGCCTGGGCTACAAACATAAAAAATAAACATTATTAACATTGTTTCAAATATTTCACAATAGATGTTAAACAATAATTTGAATTAATTACCAACTCTTCGATCTCATTGTCACCAAGATCTAGCCTCTCCAGTGCTGACAGTTGTGAAAGCGATTCAGGTAAGGATTGAAGAAGATTCTCCCTCAGCTCAAGCGATTTCAGACTCGATAAACTGAAGTAAAAAAAAAAATATATATGAAAATCTGAATAGTTGAATCAATATTTAATCATAACAATTAGTTATCAGAGAGACTGTATAAAGATATTTATAAACCATATAGATCAATGTATCTATTCTACAGACATTTCTTAAGTCAGAAACAATAATAAAGATAATAACAACAAATAATAAACAATCATACAAAACGATTCTAAAGGCACTGTGTCTCTAGAATAATGCGTTGATTTCTACTTTTTTTAAATTTTGGTTTATTATTTTTTGGACTTCGCATGTATAACGACCGAAGGAATGATATGCTATTTTTGATTTGCGCATGGTCAAATATATTTTCCTTGCATCTCCATGCAAGAACACATCTATATTCTGAAAAAAATTGCAATTAAATATTGATAATCATAATAAAATGGAAACCATACAACGGGTGTGTTACATATTTAAAGCACAAGCCAATAATCAGGATTTAAAATACAATTATAACTAACAATGGTACTACATTTATATTTCATTCTACATTTTACTGGATGATTCATTTGGAATTTTTCAAAGGATAAGAAATAATTTACTTATGCAGTGATCGAATCAGTATTGGCAGCATATAAACCAATGCCTTAACACTTAAACCTCTAGGACTGATAAATTTTGTTTAATAAATTTAATAATCCTCTATTTTATAAGAGGATGGCATTCTCAGGATCTATCTAAAATTTAAGATTTGAATTCAACATTATTGCCAAACAGCCAGGAATACTCAACTCAGAATAAACTTTTTTTTAGTTTTTTTTGCAAGTATGAAATAAAATAAGCTGTTTCCAAATTGGAGTACTCTCCCTCTGTAATTTGGTCACTTTCATTACTCGGCATTACACGTCATTGTTGCCTACCTTCGTTTTTGTTATTTTATTATATTTTAATCTATTAACTTGACCAGATTATTATTTCACTAGCTGGCCCGTACGAATAATTCACATAAAATCTTACTCAGAAAACAACTGATAGAATAGTATGGAAACATGTTAATGCAATATATTATGAGTTGGAAAAATTCCTTTTCCTTTTCTTGGTCGAATTAAAATATTTAATTCATAAAAATAAACCAAAACATTTGTACAATTTACTGTAGTCTATATCTTTGCTCATAATAGTTCGATTTCGATATATATTTATTTATTTTATTTTGTAACCTTTTAATTAGTTATGGAGTTAGTAAGGGAATAAATCCAAAATTGAAAACTTTTTGGGAAACCCGAAGATATGTATAATACAGACAATTGTATTTTTTAAAACAATTATTACTTTCACTTATCAATATACATATTGTATGGAGAATAAAGGAAAGTATTCTGATCGTGAAAAATTCTGAATCCGAGTTTCCAAGGGAAATACACGATTTGAAATACTATAAGTAGAAATATCTAAATATCGTAAAATGGTCAATAAATGCAGGGGTGCCCATCCTCCCCAAGATCGATGGTGCATAAATTTCTCCCTCTCTTTCCCACAAAATTTTATTGCTGTTCTTTTCTTAAAAACAGTGCAAGGAAAGGAGAATTAGAAGAAATGATCATAAAAGATCATACCCACTTAAATTTGCTGTGGTTTCGTCCATGTTTTTCTCTTGTATCCTGGTTAAAACTTTTCATTCAGAAAAATTTTACTCCCTTAAAAATTTTAATGGGGCAACTTATGCCATGAACCACAGAGGCATCCCTGTGTGAATGTACATTCTAGCTAAAAGTGACAAGTTGTATGGAACTGAAATTATGCCATGGGAAAAAATTAAAAATATAAACAATGGATTTATCCTATAAAATAATATTTTTTTTTACAAAACCAGCAGACATAAATTAATTTAAAAATAAAATCATGGTTTAAAATAAGATACTTACAGGCCAAAGTCATCAGGGAGGTTGGTAAGGGACATGTCGTTAAGCGCGAGGGTCGCCAGGTTCTTGAGCTGGACAAAGCCCGGTGGTAACCTGTAAAATAAATACAATATTATAAATAAACCTAAATAAGATATTTTTAAAAATTAAAATTTAATTACTACAAAAACCAGAATATAATTGGAGCCATATCAATGAAGATAAGGCAAATAATTTTTGTATTGGACTTGATACCCAAAACGGTAAAGAAAGTGTGAGGAGACACAGAATATTTTATGATTATTTTAAAGAGATATATGAAAAAAAAGTTTTGAAATTAGTCACCATATTTTTAAAATTTCAGCTTCAAAACATCTTCACACACTACTTATTTCAGGTTATGTCTATTTTAGAATACATTCCATAAACTCGAATACAGTAATAGAAACCCACACTTCGACAAAGTTTAAGAAAATATAGAGCAAAAACAACTTATATCTTAAAAATATGTGTGTGTGTGTGTGTGTAAATGATTTTTAAAGGAATAAATTTTTAATGGTTTTTAAGGGAGTAAAAACAGATTTTTATTTTATCCAATTTAGCAAGGTTGTATTTATTGAATCTTAAAACTTTATTGTCTATAGTTTTAAGGAACACTTCTCCACCTGCAGAAATTAGTTTTGAATCATTTGAAAAATAAATTAAAAATTCTTTACTTGTAATAAATGTTTATGAAAATTATCGATTATTTTAGGAGTAACTTTAAAAACATTGAAATGTAAATAGGCATAAGTAGTAAATATGGCCGCTTTTGGAACCAATTAAGCATAATGGTTCTGGAACATATAAGGTTGATTGTACTAAAAAAATGGTGTATTGTAAAATCAAAATACGATTCGGGAGAGAGGGGAGGGAATGGATGAATTGTGTTATAAAAATTTTCTTTCTTGTTTACAATGAAATAAATTTGTTTTTAATTTTTATTCGAATAAAAAGGTCAAAAAAAGCCATTATTATCCTTTATCAATAGGAAAAACGGTAAATCAGCAAAAGTGTTGAAGAAATAAATCAGCAAGTGTTGAAGAAACATAGCGATAAGGCTAGAACAGTCGAAGATATAAGAAATTTTGGATACCACAGCCCTGACTCATAAATAAAAAAAATATCTTGTAAAAAAAAAAAAAAAAGTGCAATTCAGCCTTTTGCAAGATGCAATCTGATGAGCTGGTGCTCCCTTCCTCCAAGAGAGAGAGGGGCTTTAATTATACCAACAAGCCCGGGTCAGTTTTTTAATCATTCATGATGGCTACTTCTAGATTAGGCTAATAATTTAAAGTTGATTATACCGTGTACTCTTTGGTCTAGATGAATATCTCCGTCGCACTTAGCATCAATAATGTACCAGGCTAATGTAAGTAACCTTTTATCTCCTAAACAAACTGGGCCAATGGGAATTTCTATGCATATTTATATAGGCAGATAAACAACCCACACTGCTTAATAAAGACATCTTTTGTAAGAAAAAAAAATTAAACAAATAATAAAAAAAACAAATTCCCAACTATGTCAGTAGTTTTATTATTGCTTGGTTGTTTCAACATTTGTCGGAAGTTATTCCCCTCTTTAACACCTTCAGCATAACTATCATTTAGCATGGACTATTTGGGATACATTTAAACTCCCCTATTCCTCTGTATTTAATGCAAAATCTTAAAATAAATAAACATCGATACGCATAAATGTATATAACGCATAAATTTCATTAGGATTATAATTTTATTTTGAAACAGAATGGAATATTCTAATAAAAAAATAAAAAAAGGCTGATAAATCGTATTAAGCTTAAAAACTCAAATAACTTTCTACCCCTACTCCTTAACGTGGATTTATTGCAAAATTAAGTAACATTCCATAAAATTGAATCACGAAGTACTTCGATAATTTTTCTCTATATGAAATAGATTTGGCATTAATCGATTGGCGAGTTTTTATCGATAAAAAAAAATGAAACTTACAAAAACGTACTTTACCTCCATCCTAACCAACCTGTCAAAATAATGGTGTAAGTAGTCCAAACGACTCAATATTTTCGTAGGTCACCTTTTTTTCTCTTCGATATAGTGATCAAATTATCTTACAATTCAAATGGAAAGGAAATGGTTATTCATGAGTATTTGATTTAATAAGAAAACGCCCCATTTCTGAGAATTTTAGAAGACAAAAAAGTTGTGGGTTACGATAAGATGAGGACATTCCCGAAGTTTTAGACGGATATTAATAATTTCATAAAAACGGGTCTACAACGCGGACTAAAACTTACTTTTCGATTCCGAGGACATTTTTTGTAACCTCGCGCATGAATACAAAACTTTCTTAATAAGAAAGCAACACCTCGCTCTGGCAGCGATAAGATTTCTATTCAGACAATTAATGTAGATTCTTGTCTGTAATGAATTACTAAATATTTATATTACAAACAAATACGTGAACAAAATATTAATAAATATGTATTTAATATTAATGTATTGCAGAGTAAATGTCAAGAATGCGTTGGTTAGTAAGTATTTTGCATCATAAGAGATATTAAATTGCTTTTTGACAGAACCCTTATATGATTTGGAAAACATTGGGGCACGTGACATGGCCCATGTTGGCAAAATGACAATATAAAACTCTAACATTGGCATTCACACGTTATGGTATTTAAATAGGGCATTAATATTAAATAGTTGTTTTGACTTCATATCAGAGAATGCTGATATGAACTGATGCTTTCACTGTGGCATAATGCTTTCTACACCATGTCCACATCCTATAAATGGCAGAGGTTTTCTTAAATAGTAATAAGTATAATTAAAATACCAATAGTAAAATCGTTATATATTTCTATTGTTAGGGTCATCAAAGAATAAGATTCAAACGAGTCCAATTAAGATAAAACTAAGTATAGTTATTGTTAGATACAGGTATGGGTTAATTAATCAAAAATATTTGAAATCATAATATGGAGACAATCATTATACTTTCTTTTAAAAAAGAACGAAAAAAAAATCAATCGAATTTTAAATACTTAAATCAATTATAAAAAGTTTGTCTAGTATTGCGATTTTGTTATCCTAAGTATTATGAGCATAAACAATTATTAAAGAAAAAAAGAAGCTTTGTTCTTTTAATTATATATAACTACGAAATTGCTTTTAAGAAAATATCTACTTTCACTTCAAAAATTCCATTATTCTTACTATGAAGTCACCATTTTTAACAAAGGGGGAGCACACAATGCTATTGGCAAAGACAGTTGAGATTATTATTTAATGATAGAGGAATAGCGTAATATTGACCAAGCTCAATATAATCAAGATTTCGACAAATTTATATATATATATATATATATATAAAACTTAAGATTTGTTTTAGCTCATTCAAGCGTATTTCATGACCTATCATCCGACTATAATTGTTATCTTAAGTTATAATATATAAAGGTCGAATTATAAAAACATTGTAATATATATATATATATATGTATATATATATATATATATATATATATATATATATATATATATATATATATAATGTATACGGTATGTATAGAAAACCGGAAAAAATATATACATATAAAATAAAATATAGCACAAAATAAAAATAGTAATCGCTCACTGACTTAACACTGTCTTAAAAATGACGATACCAATGCTAATGAAATTTTAATCGTGGTTCCTCCACTATGCTTAAGATAAGACAGAATTAAATTAAAAAAAAAAAATTATTTAAGGGTAGTTAGTCGATTATTCTATAAATAATGGGTGATAATAGTCAGGAAACAGTCAGTTTTTAAGATTTTTATTGTCAACGTTATAACTCGAGTTTGTGGGCTATCATCAGGGCATGTTACTCTAGCACTGAAGATGTTTAAGTACGTAATCATCCATAAAAAAAAAAAAAAAAAAAATATTGACTCTTAAGTGGTTAAAAAACTTTCTGAAACTAAAATTTTAAAAAATTAAAGTTGTTCTGAACAACTCAAAAATTGTTTCAATAAGAAAGTTATATGTACTAATTTGAAACATTACCAATTATCTACGAATAACAAAAAATAAATAGCCTACTGGACCAGAATAGCGCGGCATGTAGACAGTCAAAGATACTTACTTATTATATACTTATTTTATTGAAGGAAGTTAGTCGACTGTCCTACAAACATGGGCGATAAATATTGAGGACGCAGTCATTATAAGGTTTTTATTAGTGCCGACGTTTCAACCCATACATGTTGGTCACCATCAGGGCGTGCTGCGAGCATTGAAGATATTCAAGTACTTTAATACCAGTACTTGAATATCTTCAGTGCTCGAAGCATGACCTGATGATGACTCACATGTTTGGGTTGAAACGTCGGCACTAAAAAAAACCTTACAATGACTGCGTCCTGAATATTTATCACCCATGATATACTTATTTTACTTTTTATAAGAGTTTCATTCACATATTTCAATAGAACCGGATCCAATGAATATGTATAAATGAAAGATGTCATTCGCTCACTGACGTATTGTCACTATATTTCAAATATGACAATGCTGATAAATCTCAAAATTTAAACATTACATTTTCTTATGGATTATTTGCGAGCGAAGACACCAGAAAAAAAACAGTGACAAATAAACTGAAGACATCAGTATTTGATACCTTCTTCATTTGTTGTCAAAAAAAAAAAAAAAAAACAAGAATTTTTCATAACAACCAAATTTGTAAGATATCGCTTTCATAAAATCATATTTTCAATTATGGAAGTTTAAGGAAATAAAAATCGAAACAGACAATATTAGACAATATAACTCATACGACGCTATCTCAATCATCAGGACAATTAATTACAATTTGTCGTACGAAGAGCTATTAAGATAAAAAATTAAGTAATTATGAATGGCAGGCTATCAACGAACCGAGAGGCAAAATATAGAGATAATACAAAACGTCGATGATAAGTTGACCTGTATTAAAGATATTTAAGAAGATAGACACAGTAGTTTATTGAGATCGACATATAAACACTAAAACTGTAGACGGAATAGAGTTAGTATTTAGTTTCATATTTTCTATTAATTCAA